TGCTCTTGAGAATCATGGTGAAGAGCCACCACGATAAGTTTTAGATGTTAGGGGGATGAATCGTTATGACTTCCCTAACCGAGTTTAAGTTTAAGGAAAGTCTGGACGGCTTCTCATACGTATGATTTGGCATCCGGACTAGCTAGTGAGGGATCCCCGTGTCAGTCAAGCTTTTAAGTCAAGATTTGAGTTTTAAGAGAGGAGAGGAACTTCAACTCCTACAAAGTTTAAGAGTTAAGATTTTAAGATTGGAAGTACAAACAACTTCCACTAGTCAAAGTTAAGTGTTTAAGAAAAGTACTCAAGTATTAGAATTATTAAAACGTAAGGGCGTAGACTGACCCCAACTCACTCACCAGGCCTTAGTAAGGGAATGAGCGAGAACCAGATCGGTAGCAGCTAGCTAGAGGAGCAGTTCGAGAGCAACCAGCTAGAGGAGAGTAGTATAAGCGTTACGGAGGATGCTTAGTCATGGTTTTCAGTAGCAACAACTTCAGAGATTATTATTTATTTACATTTATGATTATGAGTACAGACTGGAGGTTATTTTGAGATCAGATTGAGATTTTAAAGTTTGAGATTAATTTGCCCACGTGTTAGGGCTTTGCTCTGAACTACAAGTGTGTGTTTTCTGTATTTTATTTATGAAAATTTTCCCCGCTGCAATTTAAGATTTGAATATTTTATTTATCAAGGGCATTTTAGTAGTAGTACCCGGCCGGGTTAGGGTGTTTCACAGAAACAGAGAAGGTGATTTGTTCACCCCCAACCCTCAAAATTCACTTCCCATCATTCACATCGATAAGCGCCTTGGCGGGGGCGTGAAAAGGTCTACCCAGTATTAAAGGCACATCCATATCTTCATTTATATCAAGAATAACAAAATCAACAGGATATGAAAATGGCCCTACTGAGACTATAAAGTCCTCTGCAATGCCCCTAGGATGCACAATGGATCTACCAGCTAGTTGAATGCTCATCATAGTGTCACTGGGTTCACCTAGGCCTAGCTTTTTAAACAGTTTATATGACATTACATTTATGCTAGCACCTAAATCTTCCAAGGAATTTCCTACATGCAAACTACCAATCATGCAAGGGATAGTAAAACTCCCTAGGTCTTTGCGCTTCTCTGGTAGCTTGTTCTGCCAGATGACAGAACACTCCTTGTTGAGCATCACTGTTGACAACTCCCAAAGCTTCCTCTTGTTGGTGAGGAGATCCTTCATGCATTTAGCATACTTGGGCACCTTCATGTTCACCTGCTTCAGCATTGCCATGAACTTGGCAAACTTAGTCTCCAGTCGGTCTTTGTGCAACCGAGTAGGAAAGGAAAGTTGAGGAACATACTCCTTCACCACTGGTTGTGGCTTAGGAGCAAGCACCTCAATCTCTTTCTCCATTTCTTCTTCATTAGCTGGAAGTGCTGAAGCATGTGCCTCTCTCTCCTATCTAGCCTGGACAGGTGGGTCTGCAGTCACCTTCCCACTCCTGTTAGTAATGGCCTTGCAGTGTTCATTTGGGTCCTGCGGATGGGGAAAGGTCTGGCCGGAAAGTACTCGGAGCCCTTTGTGCTACGCCAGTGCCACGCTCATGAGCTGGGTCTGGATATCCCGTAGTACAGCCTGCGTGTTTCTTTTGCCAGCTTCAAGCTCCATGAATTTACCTGATGCTTTCTACATGAACTGCTCGATGTTGCTGAACTTATTAGCACTGAAAGTGGCCAGAGAACCCACCAGATCTCGCAAATCGGTCATCCGATTGCTCTATACTGGGACTGCAGGAGCTGCACCTTGCTACTGAAATGGCCTCATCTATGACTGAGGAGGAACTTGCCCCCTGTTTGGGTGGATAAAGAGGCTACTGGTGTTGCTGAAATTACCCCTGACTTGGCTGGTAGGGTGGTCGCTAGAAGCCTAGAGGTCCCTGAGAGACTGTGGCTTAGGATTATTTCCACTCCAGGAGAAGTTGGGATGCTGACGCCACCCCTTGTTATAGGTGTTGATGTAGGGGTCGAAACGCCTAGCATTGTCGATGAAGTCCAACTGCTCCTGGGGTATAGTCGACTCCCTCATCACCTGACAGTCTTCTACAGTATGGTGAGAGCTCTCGCACCACTGGCAACACATTACCTGCTGCTATCTTATCCCTGTAACTATCCCAGAATGATCAATAGACGAGACCAGTTTAGACACGACCTGCACCAACTCAGACGACTGGGTAGCTACAGTATGCACACCCCGGTCTGGTGTTCACCTCGATCTCCTAGCAGTTCCCCAGTCTTCTAGCGGGTTAGGAACTTGTCCGCCACGTTGGCGAATGTAGTGATCAATCCCGGAGGCAGAGTGTCCAACCACTCCTTGGCCTGCCCCTCCAGAGTGAATGGAAAGTATCTTTGCTGGGGCACTCCCCTTCCTTTTCATGGAATATCACCAAGCCGCGCAACATGGTGATGACAGAGGTGCTCACCTCGAAGTTATTAGCTGGAACTTGAGGGTGCTGGATGGGCAACCTCATGTCTGCTGCTCGGGTAGTCCAGTAGTATCCCATGGTGTGCTCCTTAGGAATGACCACATCATTGTTCTATGGCTCACCCATGTCCTCCTCCTGGTTGATGTGCAGCTATGCTAGAGCCTCCTCCGCAGCCAGTCGCGCCTTTAATTTATCAACCCGGGGTCTAGATCTACTGCCTACTCCGTGAACTTCTATTATCTAGCGGGACTAAGTGAGTATAGGTGAATTCAAACTAAACAGAAAGAAAGCAGTAAATTGTCCGGTTTCCTGAAGCAAGAGAAGAGTCACTCGAGAATGAGCCCCCTAGCTCCCTAGTTAGGTCCAAGTTGTAATTACCTTTGGTTGATTTACTGTTGACTAAACTGCGGAAGATCCGACAGTAGCTTGGAATCTCTTAAGCTTACCAAGCCCTCTTGGACAAACTAACCGGCAGACGACTAGTCTTCACCGGGATAGAAAGCTAAGGCAATTAATACAGAACTCCACTAGTGGAATTGGATTCCATTACAAAGAAGTGAATCGATTAACTCTCGTATAATCAATTCACTACTACCGATTGAAGAAGCTCTAAGAACCTATTCATATTCTATCTATCACAGGTTGAAGCAGGAATCAAGAGAAGTTGATCAGGATTCAATTGACTCAATAAACACACCTCAATCCAAAAGTCATTACAATAAAGATCCCTAACACATGGAGCTAGGGTTCTTCATACCCAAGTGAGAGAAAGGTCTACTCCATTGGGAGAGAGGAAAACAGAAATCAAAGCAGTCATACTCATAAGGATGGGAATAATCTGCTCTGGGATGTCAATCTTCACTCCTGGGAATGCAATCTAGGCTTCAATGGTGAGAAATCCACTCCAAATAGCTCCTAGGATTTGTTCTTCGCACTTTCTCTCTCTAGAACTCTGTTTTTGCTACAAAAAGTCGAATCTTCCTCCTTTGCCTCAAATCTGCCTCTTTTATCCCGATTCTGGGCGAATTACGGGTAGAAGCACGGTCGTGCTTACTCCATTGGCCATGCTTTGCCCAAAACGCGTGTTTCACTTATTGCAAAACGGGAGAAACACGGGCAAGTCTGGGTAAAGCACTGGCGGTATTTCCAAAAGCACAGTCGTGCTTTTCTCTTGGCCAACCCATATTTTGCCTTTCTTCAGCATCCTCTTAGTTTGCTCTCGCTAATAAAAGCACTGGCAAGATGATGAAAAGCACGGTCATGCTTTTCTCCTTGCCTGCCCGTATTTCATCTCCAGGATCGTCAATTGATCTCCAAAAGACCCGAAACTTGCGCCTACGCCTTTGTACACCCGCTCGGACCTGAAATATGACAAAATGGCACAACCTAGCGTAAAATAGGCTAAGGGGCAACAAAATCGAGCCAAAATGGTTAAGATATAAGGATGCAAACATGTGCAAACATGACGTTATCAGCCAACATCCATCGCCATCGACATGAGTAGGGATGTAACTAGGCGCATGTCTTCTTTACTAGTTCAAGCGCCTTCCGGCAACAAGAATCCTTCCTGTGGTTGGCTTGTTTTTTCAAATCAAAGAAACAGGTGGTTTTTCTCATCTCTTGTTTGGATTTGGGTTCATCGGGAGAGATGTCAACAACAGATTTACACAAGAACTAATTCTATGGTCTGCTAACTGTTTGATGAAAAGTCTGAGAGAGAGGAAAAAAAGAAGAAGGGTAGAAGTAGTGGCGGACCCACGATTTTAATTAAGTGGGGCTTATAATAATAAAATAAGAACTAAATAAATTCATAAAATTCACCATGTCATTGTTTTTTACTTAATCACAGCGACTCTTCACATTCGGAAAGGGTCTATAAAATACATTCATTGTTTATGTTGCTAATAAAAAAAATTATACACATAACTAAACAAACCGTCATAATTGGACATTAAATTAATTATGGAGATAGAGTGGCGTCTTCGGTAAACTCACTTTTTTGGGTGCATTCAGTGCACTCGCTTCATAACCGTCATTTTAAACATGCGATTTATGTTAAAATGATGTCAATAATCACTTATAATGTGATGAACAATAACACATGAATTTTCACAAAAACCATTAAAGATTTAGGGTTAGGGTTCAAGACTTTGATGTTCGTTGGGTTGAAAATCACCATTGGTCACTATACTTGCTTAATTAATTTATGTTTACCACTAGACTCGTTTTTAATTCAACTAAACCACTAAACTCAATTTAAAAACTCACCGTCCATCACTTTCGTTACAACTTAACGGAAGCTATATTAACGGTGCTGACAAAGCACTAACGATGGTGATGTGGCGACACCTAGTCCCTATTATTCCACATAAGCATTTCTATTCCTTAACCAAACTCTACCAAAAAAGAATCCGAAACCCTAATTGTTTTCCCTATTATTCTATACCCCGCTGTCCATCTTCCTAAAAGTTGCTGCTCATCTTCCCCAAAAGCCATGTTTGAGTTCTACTGTGCACCGGCAAGCCCCAATGCCGCCAAAGAAACCAACAAAACGAAGCAACAGAGGGAATCTTGATTATGGTAAGTACTTAGTGGAATTAAATTTTCTTATGATTTTGGTGTGGGGTATCGGAGGTCAGAGGAGTGCTGCCGAGGCCGGCGCCACAGCCTATATATCTGTCAATATATATGTTCATAATCGAACAGCCTCCTGCGAATGCATCCCATTGAACCCCGACGACTTGTCCGAAGGCTGCCGCCCCGAGAGGGTGCTCAATTACTGCGCGGATGATCATGTCGGCAATGGGTCCAATACAACGATATATTTCATGATCGTGGTGATTGACAACGCGGACTTCCCATTCGAGAGCTTCGTGGATTTTGTTGAATGCCGAGGCTTGACGATGGAGGACTGCTATAGCTAGGCAGCGGCGTTGGTGGAGTCCACGTGCATCAAGAAAAGGATGCCTTTGTTGAATGCCAGAAGGAATACTTCTTCTACTAAGGGAATCAAGGCTGATCAAAGTGTCGGTGATGTAGATAGAGAAAGAATCATAACAAAAAATAAATGTGAATGGAGTTTTCCCATGTGGTTTGCCATATGGACCACTTTTAATCTACTCTATGTCTTGTCTTTTTGTCTTCTTGCATATTTGTCTCTACTAACAACAAGAAAAGGAGAAGCTAAAGATAGAAAGGTGTGTATGGGATTGAAAAAGTAGACACGTGTAGCAGGAGGGTGGGATTTCCATGGACCACTTTTAATCTTTTCAATGTTATGTTGTTTTGTCTTCTTGTGTATTTTTGTCTCTAGTAATAACAAGCAAACTATTGTTTGCAGACGATGCATTATCTGAAAGCAGTGACGGGAGTTCTGATTATGAGGTACTTTTTGAGGATAGTGATTACGATTTGATGGATAAGGAAGATGATTTGATATATGATAATTATGTCGATGAAGAAGTAGAAGCTAGAAATGGATTTGATTTTCAAATGGAAGGTGCTTCAAATCTACAATCCCCTATGGCTCATGACGGTGATATTGCTTATGATGGTGACGGAGAGCTTACTCATGTGGTTGAGGATGAAACTGAAATGAAAGAGGAATTTCCTGAGTTCAATGCAGAAGCAAATATGAATAATCTAGTATTCTTTGAAGGTCTCAAGTTTAAATCCTTTGATGAATTCAAGGAGGCGGCAAAGCATTATGCAATAAGACATAAAAAAAACATCCGGTTTAAGCATAATGACAAGCTGAGGGTCCATGCTGTTTGCCAAGATGGCTGTCCATGGGAAATACGGGTCTCCTACATGTCTAGTGAGAAGACACCTCAAATCAAGACATGTCGCTTACATCATAGTGAGCATTGCAGAAAAGTGTACAACATCAGATTTCTCAACGCCAAGTGGATAGCAATGAAGTATCTAGAGAGGTTTAGAGTTGATCCTGCATGGTTTTGTCCCCTTCTAATCCAAACTGTCAAGGAAGATTTGATGCTAACCATGAGCCTGCCTAAAGCTCAAAGGTGTAGACGTGAGGCTTGGGTACTATTAGGTGGGCAAGAGGAAGATCAATACAAGAAATTATATGATTATGCAGGTGAGATTCGAAGGACAAACCCAGGATCCACTGTGATCATTGAGCAATTTGGAGGTATTTTTGAGAGGATGTATATGTGCTTACAAGGATGCAAAGACGGATTCAAGGCAGGATGCAGAAGGTTCATATCCATCGTTGGTTGTTTTATCAAAACCGATATTGGAGGACAATTATTAACAGCTATTGGTGTTGATCCTAATGATTGCATTTTACCCATTGCATTTGCCTTGGTAAAGAAGGAAAATAGAGATAATTGGCAATGGTTTATTAGGAACTTGGTTGAAGATCTTGAAGTGGAAAATAATCCTAGTTGGTGCTTTATGTCTGATCGTCAGAAGGTAATTAAGATTAATAATTATCAATAACTTAGATGTTATCCCTCTTGTTTGATGTCTTATGATGGATAGAATCAGTACCAAGTTAGGTCCTTTGATGGACAAGTGGTGGTGGATCTTGCTGAAAAAACTTGTGCATGTAGAAAATGGCAGCTTTCTGAAATTCCTTGTAAGCATGCTATATGTGCAATTTGGGAGGCGAACGAACATCCAGAAGATTATGTGGGTAGTTGGTATACTGTTGATACTTACAAAGAAGTTTATAACCATTTTGTTCATCCTACCAATAGTAATGATATGTGGGAAGATAGTGGTAGGGATCCCATTCAGCCACCTCCTATAACTAAGGAAAGAAAGATGAAAAGGGGAAGAAAGCCTAAACAAAGGAGGAAGGAGAGTGCTGAGTTGGAAAACACAAGTAAGAATGGTAAACATAGATTGAGCAGGAAAGGAGTGAAGCTAAAATGCTCCGTATGTCGTGAGTATGGGCATCAGAAAGACTTCCATAAGAATAGTCCATTACCACAGCAAGAAGGTAATGAAGGAAGCTCCTCTACACATGCTACTACTTCTGGAAGAATGGACAAGTTACCTGTAAGTTAAAATTTTTATGTTATCATTTTTTTCTTCAAATTTGAAAATACATCATTTCTTGTACTAAGAAATTTGATTGTTAATGTTTGTTTCATATTAATATCGTAGATTCAACGTAAAACAACCGGAGTACAACAAGGTATGACCTAATCCTGCATTTCAGCGCCACAGGTGTGTATCACTACCCTAATATCTTTTGTCTAGATGATGTATGTTTAGAGAATGTTCATTAAATGATGTTTACTTGTTTTTTCTAATAGGAGAGTGGCATTTTATTTCAGAACTAGGAGGTGTTTTTGGACAAGTTCAACGCCTGGATACTGTCTGGATTGAACGCTGAGTTGAAGTCGCGGCGACTTCTATTTCAAGTGATGCCCCAAATTCTGCAAGTTTTAGTGCCCAAGTTCTACTGCTAATTTTGTATAGACTTGATATGTTTGATTTCATTTTGTGGAACTGACATATTTGAAAAGCAAAACATTGTAAACGAATTATTGCATGGGTCACTTTATTAATTTTTGTCATCCTGTTGATTAAAGAAGAGAATAATTCTACTCCACTAAACATGTGCTTTCAGATTAGAAAAGCAAAATACGAGTTGTTAGCAAAATCTTCCCATACTAAGTGTATATATAATACGAAATTAAATAAGTATCAGCAAAGTTGTGTAGCTCAATTGGTTCAAATGGTGCTGTGTGTTGGATGGTGGGGTCCTAGGTTCAAAACCTGCTCCCACAAATGTTTTCTTTAATCTTAGTAACCTGGCTGTTGAATTATAAACACAAATTATTGGTGACATGGCAAATTAAATAGACTGCCTCCAAATCTAACGATGCCATGTCAGCGCTGTTAAGTCCATGTCAGCACTGTTAAGTTTTCATCCGTGAAATGGAACGGAAGTGATGGATGATAATTATTTATATCAAGTTTAGTGGTTTAGTTGAATTAAAAACGAGTTTAGTGGTAAACATAAATTAATTAAGCAAGTATAGTGACCAGCGATGATTTTCACCCATGTTCGTTGCGTCTAGAAGAGTTTTTATGCCTCGGGGGCCTAACCGTTATCACGGTTACGAGACCGTGATAATCCCTTCCAGGCCATTAAGGTCGTAAATGAAACGGTGCTCTTAGGCCCGAGATTAAGGTTCGAGATTCCAGATCATGCTCGTGATATTTGACGGTGATGAGCATGCGACATTGGTATAAAAGGAGGATGGAGCTGATACTTGAAGATGGGAGTCTAGTGAGAGATTGTCGTATTCTTCTTCTGATTTTGGAGAGACAATTAGACAAACCAATAGAGAAGAAGAGGGTTAGGGTTTTCTCCAAACTTGAGGATTGGGGATTTTCATCTTCCAAGGGTGATTTCTACCTCAAGGAAGGCAGTCAAACACCACACAATAGTTTTTTCTCTCCTCTTTGTTGTAATCTCTAGTTTAGCTATGAAGTAGTGCTCTTTTCACTTGAGTATTGTTAATCTAGCTTTAGATATGTGATAGATTGTATGGATTAATGCTATGTGTGTGGGCTTGTGTTTAATGCAAATTTTGAGGTATTTTCATAATTCTTGAGTTGTGTTCTTCATTTCTCATAACTATGCCAAATTAGCCTAGGTGGAGAGAAGCCCCTTTTGATAGAGGCTTTGAGAAGCTAGATTTCTTGGCCATTTGAGTCAACCCACCTAGGGCAATTAAGGTCAAGCCTAAAACTTCGATTTACCACTTTGATTTGATTGTTATTTTGCCATCTGGATTAAGTTCAGAGGGAGTAGCTTTTGCAACTCTTAGTTGATTGGCCAAGAGAGCTAGTTCCTTAGCTTAATTTGTTATTCCTTGACCTATCATGTGAGAGAGCGAAGTTTTTTCACTAGTGGCACCCTCCTTATGGTGTATGAACACACTTCTACATATATTTTTTTTTATAATGGTGAAATAATATTATTAAAGAAGAAAAAGATTTAAAGCGTACAAGACATAAAGGAAATACGCTCAGCGCAGATCAAGCAACAAAACCTCCAGCCTGGTTCAAACGCTACTGGCAGCTAAAAACCAAAATACCCAAAGAAAGGCAACTACATGCTAACGACCAAAGCTAACAAGAACAGATGCAGTGTCAAGAGGGAAAGGGAAGGGAAAACAAAGAGTACTCTCCATTAGCCTTAGCTTCCGCCGCCACAGAGAAAGGGGACTCAAACCAAGAATCTGTAATTTAGTCACGCAGTGAAATCGCAAACCAAAGTGATAACGATGTAATTGCACATATTTGCGCCCCTAGTTCTTATCCGTTTGAGGGGCATAGTCGTGTGTTTTTGGCCTATTTTATGCCGGGTTGTGCTATTTTGTCATGTTTCAGGTCCCAGGTGTAAAAGGGAAGGCTAAGCACGAGTTTCGGGGCATTCGGAAGTCATTTCGGTGAAACTGAGCCAAAACACGGGCACACCTAAACCAGAACACGGCCGTGTTCTGAGACCGTGCTTTTATTTCCGAGAGCTAATTCGAGTTTGGCAAACATTGGCCAAAACACGGGCAGGGCTGAGATAGAACACGGGCGTGCTTCACCAAAGCACGGTCGTGTCCTCCCAAAAGCACGGTCGTGTTTCTCCTAGTGTAATTAACACTAGCCAAAGCACGGGCGGGCCGAGGCATTACACGGCCGTGCCCTCGACCGTGCTTTGGCCACTGATGCCTTTTTAAGCAGATTTTCAGCCAAACAGAAGGGGATTCGAGTTTTAGAGAGACAGAGCGATTCCTAGAGAGAGAAAGCGACGAACAAGAGTCTCCAAGTGCCCTAGCTTGATCTTCAACACCATTGGAGGCCAATTTGAGCTTGGAGAAGTGCCGATCAACGTCCAAGAGCAGGAATCCATCCTTCACAGTATGAATTCCGCGTCTGATTC